TTGATGCTGACAGGAGGTGGGGGTTTCAGGGATCGAGCTCAGAGCTTCCACCCCCAGGTCTCCTCAGACCTCACCTGGTCCTGGGACACCAAGTAAGAAGAACATGCAGGCCTCAAGCAGCCAGAGCAGGAAGTCACCCAGAGGAAAGCACACTGGGGGGTGGCCAGGGGAGCAGAGGGGTCAGGGCAGGCCTGCTAAGGGCAAAGATTCAGAGCAGGGCACCTCCATCAGCCACCTCCACAGACAAGCCAAGTAGTGGAATCAGGGCGCTCACCATGCTGGGCAGGGACGACACAGATGCAGGCACCTTCAGAGGAGTACCCCACCCCTAACCTGCATGTAGACTGTGGGCTTTCTAGGGAGGTAGGTTTGGGGTGCAATGCAACTCTCAGAAAGAAATGACAGAAGTCCCAGGGATTGTTGTTTCAGCCACTCCTGGATTTCAGGGTTTCCTGAGCCCCACAGCAAATCCTGCCATGTATGAGGGGCACTGAGCTGTGTGTGTTCCAGGCCGGGTTGGGCTTTGCAGGCAGATCAGCTCTCAGGGAATCTCAACATTCCCTCTTGAAACAGAGCTGGGGACACCGGGTGCAAGAGTGAAACCTGCTGACCCTTGCTTGTTGGGGAATCTTTGCTGGAGGTGCCTAGCTTGACCTGGGCTGGAGGAAGCCAGGCCTGAGGAGCTGTAGCTCAGACTCTCTTGGACATGGATTCCTTGGGTGGCTGTTTCCTTGCCCTGAGCCTCCCTTTTCTCACCTGTCAAATGGGCCATCTTAGGTAAGCCAAGAGGTAAAAATTCAGCAAAAGCTCATAGAAACCTTTAAACATTTTGCATAATGATTACTTCTATTTTTAAAAAAAGATTTATTTATTTATTTATACAAGCACTGGGTACAGTCAGAAGTGGGGGAGGGTGAGAGAATCCACCAGAGCCAGAGCAGGGAGCAGAATAGCCAGACTGATGAAGTACACTGCTGAGGGGAGCAGCGAGCGGGTAGCAAGAGAGGTCTGTGCGCCATGTGGGACCCTCGTCCAGCGTCCAGGAATCGAACCAGTGCTGCAGAGGCTACAGGCAGCTTCGCAACCCAGCACTCAACCACTGTGCCACCAGGGAGGCCCTGATTACTTCTATGTTTAATGGACAATATGCACTGGAGGACATTCTGACAGTCAGATTCACCAGGAACTGAAAGGGCTGCCCTAAAGGAGGGATGATGTCAGGAATTTGAGCCTCCATGGGGGACCCTGCCTCTCCACGTGTAGAGAATTTATTCTGGAATAGGGGTCTGGGTTATTAATCTCCTGATACCAGCTCTCTGGGACAGCAGCTGGGTGTCCTACAACTCAGTTCAATACTGACATGAAGTTCCCAGACTCAGCACAAGACCCAGGGTTTCAACAGGGCTTCATGCTGTACTGAAGGATTGCTCCCCACTTCAGATGACAGTTGCCGATGAGGTGCCCTGATCGTCTACCCTGTTGGTTTATCCTACCGAAGTGAAAATATATTATTCAGCAAATGAATATAATAAAGATTCCAGCAGGACTTCCAGCCCATTTGTAATGAATTCTCCAAAGCAGGCATAATCAACAAATTTGCTTCCTAAGAGCTCCTTCCCTTTCAAGATTCATGGCAGGGACTCAGCACTCTAATCTACGAGGTCAGGCAGCCGGCCAAGTTGGCCTGTCTCTCCAAGGCCATCCCTGAATGCCTGCATCTTTCCCCCCTTGCCTTGCCCCTCTTGTCTGGGGACTTTGCCTGAAATGGTTGTGCCTGTTGAAAAACGATGTTATCCATGTAACAGATATGGAGACAGTTGTGTATAAAAGGAACTCTTGGTCTTTAAACAGGTACTCAGACCTTACGGGACTATACCCAGGTCTGGGACCTCATGCATGAGTAATAAAGCTTCTCCTGACTTCACCATTCCTGAAGTACTGCTTGTTCTTCCTCTGCCTGGGTAAAAAGTAGAATTTATTTCTACAACACTACATTCAAATTCCAAAGTCCTCACAACCCCATGCATGCTTTCAGGTTTGAAAGTTTCCTAGACTGACTCTCAGGCCTCAGGAACAGTCTCCTTACTGATTTAGGATACAGGTGTTTGGCTCAGTACCTGCAAAGGGATGCAGCACAGGAGGGGTGGGAGGTGCAGGGGCTCCTGAACCCTGCCCATGTGCGGTCCTCCCAGCACATCCGTGTTTCACCAACAGGGAGACTCCAGCCTGAAAACCCTGTCTATATTTAGGTTACATTGCGTAGGCAGAACTGATGAAATCCTTGGCTTCAGTGACGAGGCTAATCTCAGCCCCTCTCCCTGGAAGCCTTAGATCAAACCGTGCACTGAGCAGCAATAGCTACAACCTTTTGTTAAATAGCCTCGAGTCTATCCAATTCCCTCCTCTCTTCTTTTTCTAACCTCCCCTAGGTGTCAAGTGAAGAAAATATGAGGACTTGATGTCCTTTCTACCAAGAAAAGCTTGTAACCCTCACCCTTCCCCCCACCTTATTCCCCCCCACCCCTGTGAACTTTGAAGAGAATAAACACAACCATGCTCCTATCTTCAGGGGTCCAAGAATAGTCAAGCACAAAGTACAGTCATCTCAATATAGATTTAGAAAACAAACAAACAGAAGAACAGCACCCCAACCCACCTGTCTTAAGGCAGCCTGCAGGCCTAGTCCTCCCCAAGGACACAATCTACTATGCCCTTGACAATAGGACACACCCTCTCACTGAGGAGTCTCTTTTGGCTTTTGGCTGCATTGGACTCTCATTTTAATGTCGGGTGATGTTAGTCCTAATTTGAATTTGAATGTTACCCTCACTTCCTTATTTGTATACCCAGTTCTTCCAGAACAACAATGGTTTCTGCCTTACATATGGAAAGGACCCATCCTCAGACTCTTAAACCCCTCTCCCTGGAAGCCAACCTTTTTCTTTCTGGTCACCAGGCTTGCCCTGTAGTTTTCTAGGGCCCAGCCCAGTCACCCATTAGCTTCAAAGGGCCCTCTAAGCATGCCAGCGGTTCCCAGGATTTTAGTGGCTGAGAACAAAAATCCAATGTTTTGTGTATCACATCATCAGGGGGCTCCTGGGATTTTGGGTCAACAAAATGAGAAGGCCACCCATGGAGTGGGCACAGATATTTTCAAATTAGATACAAGATTAGGAGTTCATGTCCAAAATGTATATAAAATATAACTCAATAATCTAATTAAAAATCAGTAACAGGGGCCTCCCTGGTGGCGCAGGCAGTTGAGCGCAGTGCTGTTAAGCGGTTACAGCTTCTGCAGTGCCAATTTGATCCCCATCAGCTGCAGAGCAACCCACATGGCGGACAGACCTCTCCTGTCTCGCCCGCTGCTCCCCTCCCCTCAGCAGTGTACTTCGGTCAGTCTGCCCTTTCTGTTCCCCACTCTGTCTCTCGTGAATCCTCTCATCCTCCTGTACATCTGGCCTGTACCCTGGTTCTTGTATAAATAAAATAAATCTAAAAAAAAAATCATTAACAGACTGAATATACATTTTCGAAAAGCGGATATGCAAATGACCAAGTTCACGAAAACAAGCTCAGTATCTCTAATCATCAGATAAATACAAATAGAAAGGCAAAATGGGAGACTGTCACACTGGTCGGCAAGGTTATGGACCAAAAGTCAAGAGGTAAGCCATGGTGAGCCCAGGGGAGAAGGGAACGGGGTGGAGATCTCCCCAAGCAGCAGCGGGTGCAGGAGACATCCCTGCCCAGGAAAGTGGTTCTGGGTTCCATGGCTCTGTCTCCCAGGGCTTGTGTCTCCGAGAGAGCACAGGAGACACCCCTGTTAGGGGGAAAGGATGTCCTGAGCTAATTCCAATAGGTTTTGTGGACTCCACCTCCTCTCCAGACCAAAGCCATCAAGACACTGGAAATGCCAAATCCCATCATCACCCAAAGGGAGGGTTGCTGGGACCTGAGGGTGGAGTTAAGTGGCCAGGGTTGGTATAAAACCAGACATGTGGGCCTTGGGGCTCTCTTGGCTTCAAGGGTCTTGGCTCTTGGCCAGCTCTCAGCACGCCATTGGGATTCCAGTTCAGCAGAATGGGTAGGATGCATTTGTGAGTTTATTTGCCTCTTTTTCTCCCTGAGTTATTCATGTCTTCATTTTCCCTTTCTTTTATAAATAAAACTTGTATTAACCTTTTGTGTGTGCCTGCAGTGTTAGTCCCTTTTTAAGTGCATGGGTGAGGACCCACAGTCAGGCAACCCGTTTTATATTGGGGTTGCCCTGTGACACCCTGAAGCCATTTCAGGACCTCCCCAACCTCTCGTGGTGCTCACGGGAAAATGACCCCCCGACAGACACTGCTGAACAAACGTCCTGATCTGGGACCCAGGAAATGCACACCCTGTTCTGGGTCTGTCTCCGCCTCCCGTGAGTCTTGACACCCCTCTGAGCCTCAGGTCTCTCTATGGCATGAAGAGCCTTTGGCCCCCCTGGGCAGCTGGAGCAGCAGCAGCAGCAGCAGCATCTGGGCTCCTGTGTACTGAGCACCTGCTGAGTGTGAGATCTGTGCCCAGTGTTTACCGTGGGTGCTCTCTTCAACCTTCACACAGTCCACAGCGCAGGCTCATGCTCTCCCAAGTCACAGATGGGGACCCTGAGGCGGAGCAGGGAAGGGGGAGAGCAAGGAGGCCAGGCCAGAGTCTCCCTGGGAGCTGACAGGACACCTACCCCCTCCCTCCCAGGCCCCTTCTGAATGTCAGCCTCCTCCTCTCTGGGCTCTGAACACCTGTCCTGGGCAGGTGAAGGCACATGGGGTGCTGGGAATGCACTTGGCAGGTGAAGGGTCCTGTAAGCACTGCCTCCTCTGGTCCGGGATCCCCCCTTGGGTAGACTGGGCCCCAGTCACTGACTAGAAGAAGGTTTAGGAGGGTTCAGGGGTGGGACCCGAGGGGGCAGAGGTGGTGGGGGAGCAGAAGATTGACAACAGGCAGAGGGCACTTTGTCTACTCACTTGATGAAGAAGGCATCTGTTTTGGGGCAGGTTCCAGATTTTTCAAGGTTTTGTCCAGAATGTGACCAGAATCACAGTCCAGTGGCTTATTCTGGCCTTCCTTATACTTCTTTATTTTGTCAGGTTGAAGTTGGGTCATCTCTGGGAGGTGGGGTGGTGGGAGGTGAGAAACATCAGACAGGCAACAGTGGTTCCCCTTGGCCCCAGCATCCCCCAAGGCAAGTCCATTGGGCTCATTCCCCTCCTGGTAAGCGCCTGCCCAGCACTCACTCAGAGGCCAGCTTTTCATACCCCAGGGAACCTGCTAGTAGGTGGTATTGGGGGAAGAAGGAAAAGGGAGTGGTAGAAAAGCCATAGTAAGGAGGAGCACAGGGGAGTGGGAGACACTGGACAAGTTCAGGAGACCTGGGGTCCGGGGGAGAGAAGGGGCCTCATTGAGGATCCCTGATGAGATGGGAGGGTGAGTGGGGTGGGGTGAGACCCACTGTTCTGTGTCCTCTGAGTCTTCCCTCTCCTGGACCTTTACTGTGGGGTCCCAGCCTTGAGGTTTTTTTTTTTTTTTTTTTAAAGCTTTTTTTTTTTAATTTTTTTTATTAAGGCATGTTTTATTTATTTGTTTGTTTGTTTTTTTATACAAGCACTGGGTACAGTTAGAAGCGCGGGAGGTTGAGAGAATTCACCAGAGCCAGAGCGGGGAGCAGAGCAGGCAGAAGGACCGAAGTACACTGCTGAGGGGAGCAGCGGGCGGTAGGAGAGGTCTGCGCGCCATGTGGGACCCTCCTCCGGTGGCCGGGGAGCAGCCGGGGATCAAACTGGCGCCGCAGAGGCCGCGGGCAGCTTCGCAACCCAGTGCTCAACTGCTGCGCCACCGGGGAGGCCCCCAGCCTTGAGTTTTGATGCTCATAGGAGGTGGGGGTTTCATGCCAAGGTCAAGCTCAGAGTTTCATCCCAGGCCTCCACAGACCTTGCCTGGCCCTGGGACACCAACTGAGAAGAACAGGCCTCAAGCAGCCAGAACTGGAAGGCACTGAGAGGAAATCACACTGGGGTGTGGCCAGGGGAGGGGAGTGGTCAGGGCAGTCATGCTAAGGACAAAGATGCAGAGCAGGACACCCACATAAGCCACCTCCACATGCAGCCAGGTGTGTGGAATCGGGGCACTCACCGTGCTGGGTGGGAGCCATTGAGCATACAGGTGCAGGTGACTTCAGAGGGGAGTCCTGCCCCTAACCTTCAGGTAGAACTGAGATGTGGGCTTTCTAGGGAGGTGGGTGTGGTGTGCAATGCAGCTCTCAGAAGGAAACTACAGCAGGCCCAGGAAACATTGTTTCAGCTACTCCTGGATTTCAGGGTTTCCTGATCTCCAGTGCAAATCCTGCCATGTATGAGGGGCACTGATCTGTGTGTATTCCAGGCCAGGTCTGCTTTACAGGCTGCTCAACACTCAGTGAATCAACATTCCCCTGTGAAGCAGAGCTGGGGACACTGGGTGCAAGAGTGACACCTGCTGACCCTTGCCTGTTGGGGAATTGTTTCTGGAGGTGCTTGGCTTGACCTGGGCTGGAGGAAGACAGGCCTGAGGAGCTGCAGCTCAGACTCGATTTGACATTGACTCTGTGGCTGGCTGTTTCATTGCTCTGAGCCTTACTTTGCTCACCTGTCAAATGGGCCATCTTAGGTAAGCCAAGAGGTAAAAATTCAGCAAAAGCTCATAGAAACCTTTTAACATTTTGCATAATGATTACTTCTATTTTTAATGGATAATACACACTGGGGAACATTCTGGCAGTCAGATTAACCAGGAGCTGAAAGGGTTGCCCTAAAGGAGGGATGATGTCAGGAATTTGAGCCTCCATAGGGGACCCTACCTCTCCACATGTAGAGAATTTATTCTGGAAGAGGGGTTTGGCTTTTTATCTCCTGACAGCAGCTCTCTGGAACAGTAGCTGGGTGTACTACAACTCAATTCAACACTGACATGAACTCCCCAGACTTAGTACAAGACCAAGGGTTTCAACAGGGCTTCATGCTGTACTGAAAGACTGCTCCCCACTTCAGATGGCAGTTGCCAATGAGGTGCCCTGATTATCCACCCTGTTTGTTCATCCTATATTCAAATTCCGAATTCCTCACAATTCCACAAATGCTTTCAGGCTTGATAGTTTGCTAGACTGACTCTCAGGCCTCAGGAGCAGTCTCCTTACTGGCTTAGGATACAGGTGTTTGGCTCAGGACCTGCAAAGGGATGCAGCACAGATCTACAAAGGGATGCAGTACAGGTGGGAAGTGCAGGGGCTACTGAGTCCTGTCCATGTGCAGTCCTCCCAGCACCTCTGTATTTCACCAACAAGGAGACTCCAGCCCAAAAAACCCTTTCTATATTTAGATTACATTGTGTAGACAGAACTGATGAAATCCTCGGCTTTTGTGGCGAGGCTAATCTCAGCCTCTCTCCCTGGAAACCTTAGATAAAACCATGCACTGAACAGCAGTAGCTACAACCTTTTGTTAAATAACCTCTAGTCTGTCCAATTCCCTCTGCTCTTCTTTTTCTAACCTCCCCTAGGTGTCAAGTGAAGAAGTTATCAGGACTTGATGTCCTTTCTACCAAGAAAAGCTTGTAACCCTCACCCTTCCTCACCCCACTTTCTCCCCCCACAACCCCTATGAACTTTGAAGAGAATAAACACAACCATGCTCTTATCTTCAGGGGTCCAGCAATAGTCTAGTACAAAGTACAGTCATCTCAATATGGATTTAGCAAACAAACAAACAGCAGAAAACTATACCCCAGCCCTCTTGTCTTAAGGCAGCCTACAGGCCTAGTTGTCCCCAGGGACACAGACTACTATATCATTGACAATAGGACACACCCTCTCAATGAGGAGTCTTTTTTGGCTTTTGGCTGCATTGGACTCTCATTTTAATGTTCAATGATATTAGTCCTAATTGAATTTGAATGTTAACCTCACTTCCTTATTTGTATACCAGTTCTTCCAGAACAAGACTGCTTTCTGCCTTACATGTGGAAAGGACCCATCCTCAAACTCTTAGCCCCTCTCCCTGGAAGCCAAGCTATGTCTCTCTGGTCACCAGGCTTGCCCTGTAATTTCCTAGGGCCCAGCCAAGTCACCCATTAGCTTAAAAGGACCCTCTAAGCATGATGTTTTGTGTATCACATCATCAGGGGGCTCCTGGGATTTTGGGTCAACAAAATGAGAAGACCACCCATGTAGTGGGCGAAAACATTTTCAAATTATATACAAGATAAGGAGTTCATGTCCAAAATGTATATAAAATATAACTCAATAATCCAATTAAATATCAGTAATAGACTTGAATGCACATTTTTGAAAAGCAGATATGCAAATAATTATAACAGAGTTGTCCCCAGGAAAGGGGGAGTTTCCAGGTTTCCTGCCCCACCCAAAAGGAGGGTGAAGCTGAGCAGGGAGAGAAAGTGCAGAGGAGACTGAGGAAGGAAGGAAGCTGGATGCAGAGCCAGAAGGAGACCTGGAGGAGGCACATGGAGCCAAGAGACATGTGAAGAAACTACGCTTGCCTTTTGGTCATCGACTGGGTGACACAGATGCGGGTGAGAGACCCGTGGGGACAATGGCAGTTTTTATCTTGATTTTGATTTTGCTCTTTTCCTTCCAGACTTGTCTGGTTGTTTCTGGTCCTTTTCTGTGGGTCCCCACTGGAAGATGCTTTAGACTTGTGGCAGGCTTTGGGGCCTTGCTCTCGGCCAATCCTGCTTGGGTGGACTTTTACCCATAAGGAGATGGATAACTTTGGGTGCTTGATTTAGAAACTAGATTCTTTTCCTTTCCTGTATTGTTTCCTAATTGTATTAAAGTTCCTTCCCATTAAAGTCTCATGTGTTTTGTGTTGATCGGTGGATGGCAGAACCTATTTTGAGCAGGCAGGTTTGCGGGGTCTGGGCTGCCCCCTCCCTGCCCTGTAACATAACCAAGTTCAGGAAAAGGTGCTCAGTATCTCTAATCATCAGGTAAATGCAAATTGAAAGGCAAAATGAGAGACCCTGTCACACTTGTCTGGAAGATTATGACCAAAAGTGAAGAGGTAAGCAATGGCGAGCGGCAGGGAGGAGGGAACAGGGTGGGGTCTATCAAAGCAGCAGCCGGTGGAGGAGACATCCATGCCCAGGAACGTGGTTCTGGGTTCCATGGCTCTGTCTCCCTGTGCTTTTGTCTCCAAGAGAGCACAGGAGACACCCCGAAGCCATTGCAGGCCCCTCCCCACCTCTCCTGGTGCTCATGGGAAAACAACCCCCAGGCAGACACTGCTGGACAAACATATGATCTTGGACCCAGGAAATGTACATCCTGTTCTGGTTCTGTCTCTGCCTTCCCATGTGAGTCCCAACCCCTCTCTGAGCCTCAGGTCTCCCTGTGGCATGAAGAGCCTCCACCTCCCAGGGCTGATGGAGCAATAGCAGCAACGCAGCAGCAGCATGCAGGCTCCTGTGTACTGAGCACCTGCTGGGTGTTAGATCTGTGCCGAGTGTTTACTGTGGGTTCTCTTCACCCTCATACAGTCCACAGCACAGGCTCTTGCTCTCCCATTTCACAGACAGGGACCCTGAGACAGAGCAGGGAAGGGGTAGAGTCTCCCTGGGAGCTGGACTCGAAACCTAACCCCTCCCTCCCAGGGCCCTTGTGAATGTCAGCCTCCTCCTCTCTGGGCTCTGAGCACCCCTCCCAGGCAGGTGAGGGCACATGGGGTGCTGGGAATGCACCTGGCAGATGTAGAGTTCTGTGAGAACTGCCTCTTGTGTTCCGGGATTCCCCTTTGTCTAGACTGGGCCTAAGTCACTGACCTGAAGAATGCTTAGGAGGATTCTGGTGTGGGGCCCAAAGGTGCTAGGTGGTAGGGGGAGCAGAAGATTGACATCAGGCAGAGTGCGCTTTGTCTACTCACTTAAATGGGAACTTACCCCCTAGGGTTGTAGACATAATTATTCGCCGTAGGACAGGTAACATCTTTGTAGCTGAATTCTGGTTTTCTTTTGATGGAGAAAAAACAAAAAAACAAACAAAAACACTAAGCAAATGGTTGTAGTAACAGGCCCCATCAGATAATCATTTCAATCCAGGTGCTATTAGCATTCCAGTGTAGGTGCAATGAGCAAGTTTGCTTACTTGCCTATCTTCCCTGTGACGGATCCATGGCCAGGTCTCTATACCTCTCTCCAAACAAAGCTGCATTCCATAAGGAAAAGAGTCAGAGAGCAAGACAGGCTGGATTTCTTTGAATAATCTCTGGGTTGTGGCATCCCTCTCATCTACTTCCTATGTAACAGGGTGGTCCACAGGAAAGGGGGAGGTTCCAGGTTTCCTGTCCCACCCAAAGGAGGATGGAGCTAAGCAGAGAGAGAATGTGCAGAGGAGACTGAGGAAAAAAAGGAGGCAGGATGGAGAGACAGAAGGAGACCTGAAGGAGGCACATAGAGCCGAGAGACACTTGAAGAAACTATGCTTGCCTTTTGGTGGTGGACTGGGTGACACAGATGTGGGTGAGAGACCCGTGGGGACAATGGCAGTTTTTATCTTGATTTTGATTTTGCCCTTTTCCCTCCAGACTTGTCTGGTTGTTTCTGATCATTTCCTGTGGGTCCCCACTGAAAGGTGCTTTGGACTTGTGGCAGGCTTTGGGGCCTTGCTCTAGGCCAATCCTGCTTGGGTGGAGTTTTACCCATGAGGGGACAGGTAACTTTGGGTACTTGATTTAGAAACTAGATTCTTTTCCTTTCCTGTATTGTTTCCTGATTGTATTAAAATTCCTTCCTATTAAAGTCTCATATATTTTGTGTTGATGCAGCAGATGGCAGAACCAATTTAGAGCAGGCAGGTTTGCGGGGTCTGGGCTGCCAGTCTCCCTGCCCTGTAAACATACACTCCCCTTTTTAGGGTGAAATGGCCTTGCCTCCCACCAAATCGTTTTGTCTATTGTAAGCCAATCTGTCAATCTTCCTGTGTAACAGATGTTGAGACAATTGTGTATAAAAAGGAATCTCTGTGTTAGCTCGAGGCCCAGACCTTTACTTAGGAGTGTTTTCCTGTGTCGGGGTCCACATGTGAGAAAATACAAATTTCCTGACTCACCTGCCCTAGAGCACCGCTTGTTTTTTCCTGTTGGCTTCCACAACAAATTGGTGGGTTGGCTGGGAAAACCAAATGTGTTGGCCCTTTGATGCCACTGGCCTAGGAGGAGGACTTGTGGAGGTGGTGAGAGGAACTAAGGAAGGGGAAAGCGTCATCTACTGGGAACTCCAGGGGTTTCAGACTTGGTTGCTTTTACCCAGACCCTCAACCTTGTCCAGGCCAGATTTAACAGAGCTGAGTGAGAGCAGGACCCGGCCCCGTTGTCCCACAAGGTATGTTCCCAGTACCCTGACCCCAGTCAGGCCTTCCCCATAGGGGTAAGAGGAGAGACTGATTGCCTCTCAAGAGACCTTAGGGTCTTCCAGGCAGGGAACTCCCTAAGGAAGGAGGGAGCTGTTGTAACCTGTGGTGTGGAGGTGTGAGTGAATGGGCACCCTGATCTGGCCCTCCAATCAGGTGTGTTTGTGTGACTCCAAAGCGGGGAGCACTTAAGGTCCCCCAAAAGCCATGGTGCCCTATTGGGTCAGTTTGCAATACTGCCATGAACATGATACAGTTACAAAGGACTGGTCTCTTAGCTAGGCATTAAGAGGTTTGTCTTTCCCCATTTCTTGCAATTTTCCACTTGTTTGACAGGTTTGTCTTTAGATAACAAGTCCTCCTGCATCTCAAGGAAGAGGGCTTTGAAGCAAGCTGGCGCCCTCCTGCTGACCCCTTCCCCTTTCCCTTAAGAAGAAACAAAGAGGGCCTCCCCGGTGGTGGTACAGGCAGTTGAGCTCAGCGCTGTGAAGTTGTCAGCAGCCTCTGCTGTGCCGGTTCGATTCCTGCCTGCCTCCAAGCAACCCATATGGTGTGGCAGACCTCTCCTGTCTTGCCCGCTGCTCCCCTCAGCAGTGTGTTTCAGTCAGTCTGCCTGTTCTGTTCCCCACTCTGTCTCTGGTGAATCCTCTCATCCTCCCACGCATCTGGCCTGTACCCCAGTTCTTTTATAAATAAAATAAATCTTTAAAAAAAAAGAAGAAACAACGAGCTGAACCCCACCCGTCTCAGTGCTGACCCCTTCCCCCTCCCCTTCGGAGACTCCTGCCCATCTCCCCCTTGTATAAATACCCCTGCACTCTGCCAGAGAGCAGGACAGTGGTCTTTCAGGAGTCTGCCTGCCCTCCTCATTTGTCGACAAATTAAACTGCTTTCCTTTTCCTCAAACTCTGTTTCCTTTTATTGGCTGAGGGAAACTGAGGCCGGCGTTCGGTATCAACTCTGCACTCTTAACTACAAAAAACGACATCAACACCTTGACCCAACAGAGTTTCGCCTGGTGACTGTAGCAGCCTCTGCTTTTCTGCTCTAATAAAACCTCTTTTACTGCTTATCTATTTCTCATTGTTTCCCTTGGACTCCAAACCCTTTCATTCTGTGCCGAAACCTGGGAGAGGAGCTGGGCCAAGGACCCCATCCTCGGGTGCGGAGACTCTATCTCCTCTTCTCTCCTTCTTTCTCTATACTTTGGGGCTCCAGTCGCCTAAGATCCTTGCCGGTGCCAACATCTACATCCAACGCCAATTGGGTAAGTGGCCTCCGGTAACCCCCCCACCCGGATTCTCTGTAAGGTCAGGGCCAGAGCAATTTTGGGGCAGGAAAGGGGAACTTGAAACTGCTGCCGCCGCATTGTAGAGACCCGGCTAGCCAAAACATCTAACGCAGATGACTTCCATTTAGCAAAACATACACCCCATACCTCTGCTTCATGTATGGCCAAAAGAAAGACTATTGCAAAAACTGGGATGGATATTGGGGAGGATGCCCACACTGGCAGTGTCGATCCCATTATCCCAATGACAAGGGGTCTATGGTCATCCGAGGGCCTACATCCACTTCAAACAACATCACATTAAAAATTTCTGATCCTTGGCATTCCAGGTGGCAAATGGGGATTGGGGCACAAGTCTTCCTTTATCCCCGCACCCACACAGCTGGTAAGGTATAATTTTTTTTGACTTTACACCCGGTTGCCTCGCACTACTTTGACCATCATAATGGATCCATCCTACAGTCCGAGACACAGCTACAAGCCCAAATCCACTCACTGACTACTGTCAGGCCCAAGGCCCTCTCAAGGACAGACATCCTTACAGACGCTCTAACCCTACTCAACCAATCCCACACTGACCTCAAAGCCACACAGGGCTTTCTCTGCACCTCACTGGAAAGGCCTTTACTGGCTGCTGTTCCTTAAACCCCACTTTCCCTTCTCCCTCACCGACCCCCACCTCATCTCACACTCCATGCTCTAATCTCTCCCAAGGCCTCCAGGTCCCACTCTGAGTACCAGGGTCACAGAATCACTAGATGTTAACCTGTTTCTGCTGGCACACCAACAACACAATGGGTCTTTTGTCCTGGGCCAACAGGTGCCACTCCAACTGCTCTGTGTCATCCCAGACTCTAGCAACTCCTGGACAACTGTTTTGGTGCAATGGTACCCTGCTCAGCAGGACATAGTGAGAACGAGATTGTCACCCTATCCTATAATACAAAAGGCAGGAATGAAAGGTCTCCTGGTTAACCCACCTCCATCAGCGACCTTAATGGTAGAGGTCAGGAGTTGTTTTTCTGCAAGAAGTTTCACAGAGTCAGTTTCATCATGCAGGTCACAGGATGTTTGACTACCAAACTTGTGGTGGGGCTAGAAACCACCAGAAAGGTTTCCATTCCCCCACCACCTAGTAAAGGGCTGATAAAAGAGACAGTTCACTCTAACTCTGGCGTGACTCTCTCTGGTGTGACACCTTGTCCCCACAGAGTTTCACCTGGCGACTGCAGCAGCCCTGCTTTTCTACTCTAATAAAACCTCTTTTACTGCATAACCACTTCTCATTGTTTCCTTTCGACTCCGAACCTTTTCAATGACTGAGTTCACAAAAAGGTGCTCAGTATCAGTAATCATCAGATAAATGCAAATCAAAGGCAAAATGAGAGACCATGTCATCTGCAAGATTTGAACAAAAGTCAAGAGGTAAGCAATGGTGAGCCTCGAGGAGGAGGGAACAGGGTGGCGATTTCTCAAAGCAGCAGCGGGTGCAGGAGACATCCCTGCCCAGGAATGTGGTTCTGGGTTCCATGGCTCTGTCCCCCAGTGCTTGTGTCTCCAAGAGAGTGCAGGAGACACCCCCGAAGCCATTGTAGGCCCCTCCCCAACCTCTCCTAGTGTTCATGGGAAAACAATCCCCAGACAGACACTGCTGGACAAACGTATGATCTCGGACCCAGGAAATGTACATCCTGTTCTGGTTCTATCTCTGCCTCTCTGTGTGAATCCCGACCCCTCTCTGAGCCTCAGGTCTCTCTGTGGCATGAAGAGCCTCCACCCCCCTGGATTGCTGGAGCAACAGCAGCAGCAGCAGCAGAAGCCGGGCACGTGTGTACTGAGCACCTGCTGGGTGTTAGATCTGTGCCGAGTGTTTACCGTGGGGTCTCTTCACCCTCACACAGTCCACAGCACAGGCTCTTGCTCTCCCATTTCATAGATGGGGACACTGAGGTAGAGCAGGGAGTGGGTGGAGCCAGGAGGCCAGGCCATTGTCTCTGTGAGAGCTGACAGGACACCTACCTGCTGCCTCTCAGGGCCCTTGTGAATGTCAGCCTCCTCCTCTCTGGGCTCTGAGCACCCCTCCCAGGCAGGTGAGGGCACATGGGGTGCTAGGAATGCACTTGGCTGGTGAAGGGTCCTGTAAGCGCTGCCTCTGCTGGTCCTGGATCCCCCCTTGAATAGTGTGTGCCCCAGTCACTGACTAGAAGAAGGTCTAGGAGGGTTCAGGGGTGGGTCTCAAGGGGCCAGAGGTGGTGGGGGGGAGCAGAAGATTGACAAAAGGCGGAGGAGACACTTTGTCTACTCACTTGATGGAGAAAACCTGTGTCCTCTGGGATCAATCAGGGGTGCATCCTGGGCAGTGCTGCTAGAAGAATTGGAGTTCTGTGGCTCATCCTTCGTTTTTGGTTGCAGTTCAGTGTTGTTGTTCACTGGGAGGGCTGGGGATTGGGAGGTGAGGAACATCAGGCAGGCAGGAAAGTGCTCACCCTTGGCCCCACCATCTCCCAAACACAAGTTTCCATTGGGATCATTCCCCTCCTGGTAAGCTCCCACCCAGCACTCACTCAGAGCCCAGCTTTTCACACCCCTGGGAACCTGCTAGTAGGTGGTGTTGGGAGAAGAAGGTGAAGGGGAGTGGTAAGAAAAGCCCTAGTAAGTAGGATCCCAGGGCAGTGGGAGACACTGGACAAGGTCAGGAGACCAGGAGTCTAGGTTGGGGGGCTCATTCAGGATGCATGATGGGATGGGAGGACCCAGGGGTTGTGGGGGATACTCACTGTTCTGTGTCCTCTAAGTCATCCCTCTCCTGGACCTGGAGTCTGGGGTCCCAGCCTTGAGCTTTGATGCTGACAGGAGATGGGGGTTTCAGGGAGTTGAGCTTAGAGCATCCTCAGATCTCAGCTGGCCCTGGGACACCAACTGAGAACAGGCCTCAAACAGCCAGAGCAGGAAGTCACCCAGAGGAAAGCACACTGGGGTGTGGCCAGGGGATGGGAGGGTTCAGGGCAGGCCTGCTAAAGGCAAAGATTCAGAACAGAGCACCCACATAAGCCACCTCCACAGGCTGGCCAGGTGCGTGATATCGGGGCATCACCGGCTGGGCATGGCGCCTGGGAGCACCAGGTGCAGGCTTCTTCAGAGGGGTGCCCTGCCACCAGGGAAGCCCTCTTTTTGTGAGTTTTCTGAAGACAAAGCTCAGTAAGTGATCTTTAGAAATAACAAGAACTCGGCCTCCCTGATGGTGCAAGGGGTTAAGACACAACTTATGAAGCTATCAGCAGCCACTGCAACACGAGTTTGATCCCAGCCAGGGAGCTACCCACATGGCATAGGAGAACTCTCCTGACTCACCCATGGCTCCCCACAGCAGTGTACTTCAGTAGATCTGCCTGTTCTGTTTCCCACTCTGTCTCTGCTGAATCCTCTCACTCCCGCCCTCTGGCCTGTACCCCAGTTCTTGTACGCATAAATAAATAAATCTTAAAAAACATGGAAATAACAAAAACTTGAAAATGACCATATCTAAAAGTATGGTTTAAGGCAAAAGACAAGGATGTTTGCTCAGTTTTGAGACACGCACACACACATATATATTTCAGAATAATCAGAATCATACAATAATATTATACCAGAACATACTATGTTTTAAAAATCTCATATATTTTAGAACACTTTAATCAATTTTTATATATGCTGAAAAGGCATAACTTTCCCCCTCAATGACAATTTTTTTTTCTATGAAGTTTTAAAATCTCTAGATTGGTCCAATGTGTTTAAGCATTTTCCTACAAGGGAATATAATTTAAGAGTCCTAAGACACATCAAGTCATTTTACTGATCAAAAACTTTACTATTTTTGAAATTTGACTTTAAGAAAACTTTTTTGACAGGCTTAATAAATAGATACAGATTTCTATAAACAACACAAATTACCCAGAGTGATAACCAGAGGTTTTTTTTTTTTTTTAAGTAGTTATATTTTTACAATGTTCAACAATATTGACAGGACTATATTTTTCAGTTAACCAAATATGAGTATAAAAGAGAACAAAGATTGGGGTACCTCCCTAGTGGCACAAAGGGTTAAGACACAACCTATGAAGCTGTCCACAGCCACCGCAGCACAAGTTTGATCCCCAGCCAGGGAGATACCCACATGGCGCAGCAGACCTCTGCTGACTCACCCGCTGCTCCCCTCAGCAGTGTACTTCAGTCAATCCACCTATTCTGTTCCCCACTCTGTCTCTGGTGAATCTTCTCACCCCCCCACACCTCTGGTCTGTATCCCAGTTTTTGTATGCATAAATAAATAAATCTTAAAAAAAAAAAAGAGAGAGAACCAAGATTGTAGATAGCCTAAACAATTTTTAATTTGTCATCAAGAACCAGTGAATGCAGTTTAAGAATACTTGAGCCTTTACTGCAAATGAAAAAAGAAATTAACATTTGGTTTTTCATAAGTACACTACTGATAATAAACTTAAATATTTTTAAAGCAAGTCATTCTAGCACATAGCATTTTCTTAAGATACCTCTCTCAGACCTTTAACACTTTTTTTCATTCTATTTTGTACCTTTTTTTTTTCAAGATAGCCATTTTGTGCCTTCCTGGTGGCACAGCAGGTTGAGAGCAGAGCTGTGAAGCTGTCCGCAGGCTCTGCAGTGCTGGTTCAGTTCCAGCCGGCCAGGGAGAATCTCACATGGCACAGCAGACTTCTCCTGTTGTGCCCGCTGCTCCCCTCAGCAGTGTACTTCAGTCTTTCTGACTGTTCTGCTCCCTTCTCTGTCTCAGGTGAATCCTCTCACCCTCCCGCGCCTCTGGCCTTTACCCCAGCTATTGTATAATCTATCTGTCTATCTATCTATCTATCTATCTATCTATCTATCTATCTATCTATCTATCTATATGTATATATATATATATATATCCTTCTTTAAAAAAAAAAGATAGCCATTTTGTTTTGACACTAGATTTTCCAAGACCTTTATATCTGTTTTAAATATATTTCTTAATACACCACACTTTATTTGCATTTAGAATTACAACATTCTAATTTTTAATTTTTAGATTATAAGACTGTTATGGCAGAATTTTATCTTTATTTATGCCCACAGGCCCAGAGGAGATCTTTTTCCAAAGTCTGAGTCACCCCCTCCCTCCCCCCAAGCAATAAGGCAATAGAGCATCCATTGCCCCAACAGGAGCACATTCGCACAGTAAAGCAAGCAGGGAGTATAGAAGCAGACTCCCAAGAGGTCATCTGGTCACCTGGGGGACACAAGTCAGGCTCTTGGCCAGAGAAAGTTCATCAGTCACTCCCTGAAACTTTTAGTCAACACTGAGGCCTTGTCCCAACATAACTTCAGCTAATTAACAGGTCAACCTCACATTTTCTACTATAAGACATTGTAAAAGCTGTTCTGCTATTATTCCTTTGTAATGGATAACTCATACGTAAACATATGTTTTATATTTTTTTAGGTGATGACAATAAAGTTTAGTTTTCCTACAATAAGAAGCAAAAATATACTAAAAGCTCATTAAGTAGTCAACAAATTTTCATTATTAAACTTAGTAGATCCATAGTTTTATAGGAGATATATACCACCATATAAATAATGATAAAAAGAACAGATTTAAGACAGAGATACCAAGTGTAGCTTTAGTTTTTCTTAGGATAAGAAGTTCAGTTACGAATTAAACAATTTTATATACCAGAGGTTTTTTTTATTAAATAAACACATTTAAACATATAACAGAATTATTAATGCCCAACATTAAAAATTTAAGACATGCATGCTTTAATTAAACCATTACATTTTGAACTAATTTATGTTTACCAAAAATTTTAGATTGTGATCTCAAAATTTGGGTTCTCTTCTATTAGAATTTATATAGGTGCTATTTATCAACATCACTTGTAATCAGGGAAATGCAAATCAAAACTACCATGAGATACCATCTTACACCAGTGAGAATGGTACATATTAAAAAAACTAGCAACAACAAATGTTGGCGAGGATGTGGAGAAAAAGGAACTCTCCTGCACTGTTGGTGGGAGTGCAAACTGCTCCAACCACTATGGAGAGCTGTGTGGAGATTTCTGGACCTACTAAACATAGAGCTTCCATATGATGCAGCAATTTCACTCCTAGGTATTTACCCAAAGGACACAGAAACATCAATTCCAAAGAGCACCTGCACCCCTATGTTTATAGCAGCACTGTTTACAATAGCTAAGTTTTGGAAACAACCCAAATGCCCAAAAATAGATGACTGGATCAAGAAGATGTGGTACATATATACCATGGAATATTACTCAGCATTCAAAAAAGATAAACACATGCAATTTGCAGCAATATGGATGGCGCTGGAAGGGATCATGCTCAGCGAAATAAGCCAGAAAGAAAAAGAAAAATACTGGATGGTCTCACTCATAGCAAGAATCTAGAAAACTTAAATAAGGGACCAGGAAAATGAATAACTATAAGAAAGTGAAAATCAAAATCAACAAACAACTATGAACCAGAGACACTTTATGGGGGGTGGGGGGCGGGGAGGGGAGGGATTGGGGTCAAAATAAGGGGGTTGCAATTGTATGGGGAATATAAAAATAAAATTTATTTAAAAAAATATTAGCACAACAACCCTCCAGAGACAAAAGACACAAAGGCAAAGATACAGACACAGAGATCTCTTTCATTTAGAATTGTGGCCATTTGCACTAATTTTTAGAGAGAGTTATTTTACCAATATTTCTGACAACATGAGCATCAATTATTAATTTACTTTTAAATATATACATTTTTAACTAACTCCTTCAGATAAGAAAACATTTTTCAAATTATATTTGTAAAAATGCCCCTCAGGTTCTAAAGAAAGTGGAACAGAAAATTTCCTATCAGTTCCCCCCACCCCTGACTTTTTTTTTTAAGAATGGTCTCCATGGCCATCTGTTTGCTCCAAATCCCTCCAATTATATTTGATGTTGCAGCAAGGGAAGGGGAGACACAGAGATGCTTTCCTGGCTGTCCCTTCTCAGAGATTTTGACAAGTCCAGTCACCGTTCAGCCATACGACTTGTCAACGGAACCACAGGTAAAGCCCAATCTATCTCCACAGCTGTGGTGATTTCATACACATACCCCACCCCACCCCTCTCTCTCTCTCACACACACACACACACACACACATACACACACGCACACCCTGAAGGTTATTGTTGCATGAGGATGATCGAGAGGTGACCTGAGGACGGCAAGGGAAAGGGCTGACTGAAACGCTGAGAAAACTTGTGTGTGCCAGGGTGGAAAACCGCCTGGGAGGGACGCCCCCAACTTGCTTCGTCCTTGGAAGTCTCCTCGGTTGTAACTTAGCAACAGAGGCTCACAAGGACAGGCATGTCCGATAATACCAAGGGCGCCCATACATGGTGTGTATGAGCTCACGCACATTGCGTGCAAGGCAAGGTTGTTTTGCTTTCTCTGACTTACGATAAACGCAGATGTCCTTGTTCACAATTCCCATGAAACCATGCTGAGAAAAATAGAGAATCACTGCTTGCAGCTGACAGTAGTCTCCTGTCTGGTGGGTCCTTCACGACCAGCATCCCAGGTTTCAGAGCCCACTTGAGGCTCACAAGTGGCACCCTTACAGGGACCTGAAGGAGAAACCTCCCACTGAAGTGATGAGGTGATGGGAGCGGTCGCGACTCCACAGAAGGATGTGAGTAGAGGTGGGGAATTCCAGATGGGGCGATCTTCTTCAAGGCTTTCTGCTTTTGCTTTGCTTCTGCAGCATCTGCTTTCTCACCACAGGGCAAAAATACCCCATAGCCAGATTCTAGAATGTTTAACAGTAGTAGAAAAATATAACCCGTGGTTCTCAGAGGGTGGGTTGCTGGATATAAAAACTTGGGAATGGGTACGAGACAATGTGACATGGTCTTATAAATGGAGGGAGAAATGCTTCAAGCTTTTCCTGTTAATTTATTGGGGAGGAGGCCAGGGTTGC